CCAAGTTCAGTTCTTCCATTTTTGGCAACAAAAAGTTTGTTAGCATCGAACGATAGCGATCGCCATTCACCGTAACGTTGCGTCCAACAGCATCTTTGAAAAAATACGGTCCAATGATTCCACCAGCGTACAAACCACACCAAACAGTGCATTTTTCGGGATGCATGGGCAGTTCTTGAACGGCTTCTGGTTGCTCTTCACTCCAAATGCGGCAATTTTGCTTATTTACGAAGCCATTCAACCAGAAATGAGCCTCATCGCTGAACAACGTAAAGCGCGAAACACATTTCGAACCGAACACTGATTTTGGTAATAAAATTCAATGATTTGCAAGCGTTGCTCGTTAGTAAGTCTATTCATGATGAAATTTCAAAGCATACTGAGCATCTTTCTCTTTGACACCATGTCTGAAATCCCACGTGATCTGTCAAATACTAATGCATGAAAATCCTAACCTCAAAAAAATCACCCGTTACTTCTATGGGCAACGTTTACGAGTTCGAACGGACCATGCAGCGCTGAAGTGGCTACTACAGTTTAAGAATCCAGAAGGACAGCTAGCACGAAGGATTGAGAGACGAAGGGAAGTGTCCACGGTAGAGTTGTCAAACTATCGATAGTATCGATAGTTTTAGTTTTTTTAGACTATCAATACTCATTGATAGTTTTTTCTTATACTATCAAAAATATCGATAGTTTAGTAGGACTATCGATCATCTCTCCCAATTTTTTTTTAAATTATACATACATATGTTAATCGTAAATCCTGTTTTGTTTGAATAACTTGTGTTTGTTTTTGAACTTTCTAAAAAGAGAAGTATTTTGGCTAAGCAGTTTCCTAATTTTGAATGATTATAACTTTTATAAGATAATATTTATTTCACTATGATCCTGTAAAAACAAAGCAACCTAACTGATTTACCGCTATCGATGGCGCTATCGATAGTGCTATCTATAGTTTTGCTTTTTTCGAGACTATCGAGAATATTGATAGTTTTTCTGAAAACTATCAAAACTATCGATGGTGTGACTATCGATAGTTTGACACCTCTAGTCCACGGTAATGCTGATGCCATGTCCCGCCGACCATGTAGCCAGGAATGTAAACACTGCTCAAAAGCTGAGAGAAAAGAGGACATTATAGACGTTCGTCTAACGACAATAACACCAGCGGAAGAGTGGAAGGAAGAACAGCTACGAAAGTGTCAGCAGGAAGATCCAGATCTGGAGCTTTTGATGCATGGACTGAAGGTGGACAGAAGGCCAACTAAGCCCCATCGCAAAGGCGTACTGGGCACAATGGAACAGCTTAAAATTAATATCTGGCTGTTTGCATAGGGTATGGGAAAGCGAAGATGGCCAGTGCTCCCGCAACCTGATCGTAGTTCCAAGGGTAAGAATTCAGGATGTACTCAAGGAATTCTACAATGGTCCTAGTGGAGGGCACCTGGGAATCACGAAGACACTGGAGAAGGTTAAGCAGAGGTTCGATTGGATTGGTTGTCGGCAATCGGTCGCAGAGTGGATTGCTAACTGCGTGGAGGGTATTGCAGCTAAAGGACCCAAATCCCAAAGTCATGGCCAGATGAAGCAGTATAACTCAGGTGCACCTTTCGAGCAGATTTCCATGGATGTAGCCGGTCCATTTCCTATGAGCGCACAGGGAAACAAATACATCCTTGTGGTTATGGACTACTTTAGCAAAGGGCTTGAGGTATACCCGATTCCAAACCAGGAAGCTAAAACAGTTGCGGAGGTATTCACCTACAATTGAGTTGCGAGATACGGTGTGCCTATAGAGCTGCACTCTGACCAGGGAAGAAATTATGAATCGGCGGTGTTCCAAGAGATGTGCCAGATACTGGGTATCTGGAAAACTCGAACAACGGCTCTTCATCCGCAATGAGATGACATGGTGGAACGGTTCAACCAAACCCTGGAAGAGCATTTGCGGAAGTTCGTGGACAAAACTCAGAAAGATTGGGATGTCCGCATACCCCTTTCCTGATGGGATACCGGTCAGCAGTGCATGAAACAACCGGTAAAACTCCTGCAAGGGTAATCTTTGGCAGTGAGCTCCGTTTGCCTAGTGACCTGAAGTTTGGAGTAACTGGCGATGCAAGGAGAATTGGGAAAGAGACGTCCAACATCCTGGAAGATGAGTTAAGAGAAATACATGCTCTTGTGAGACAGCGAACTCAAATTATGAGTGACAAGATGAAGGCCAGGTATGATAAGGCAATGAACTCCGAGGGTTTCCAAGAGGGAGACTTAGTGTACTATCCACAACGGAAGAAAGGTTTGTCCCCAAAACTACAATGCAACTGGGAAGGTCCGTATAAGGTCATCAAACGGCTGAATGACGTAGTGTATCGAATCCAGACCGTTGGGAGACCAAGAAACAAGATGAAGGTGGTCCACTTGGAAAGGCTTGCAGCGTTTGGAACAGCAAGTGGGTCTGATCGGGACGATCAGACTAAGGTGGAGGGCAGTGTGACGAATACTGCGGCAACGCGAAGCGAACAACGAGAAATAGGCAGAATGTTCGAGGAATTACGTAGAATGTTCCACAAAGAGAAACGTCAAGTTGGATGAACACTGCGAACAGCGAGAGAAAGAGAATGAGCGATAAACTTCAGAACGTTCTAGAGTTGCCATAAGTACGAGCGCAGGTATATAAGGGCGCCGCCACAGCGAAGTGAGTTAGTTACAAGTCAGCAAGCTACAAGTAAAGTGAGCAGAGAAGTGAGTTGCGAATAAGCAAGCTATAAGTTTAATTGTGTTAATAAGTAGTAAGGCATTGTTATTGCTTTAACAAGTATTGTAAAGTGTTTTTACTGTATTAGCGAGTATTGTAAATTGTTTGTTGTACAATAAAGTTAATTGTACTACAATTTAGTCATCGTTAGCATTTATTTAACAATCCAGCGATACGAGCCGTATGATATTTGGGAAATCCCTCAAGGTTTCCAGGATAATCGTAACAATAGAATACAAGATTGCGCCGTCCTGGGCGTTGACATTTGTGTACCACAAGTAAACAAAGAATAGAGCGAAAAGAAGAACGAGTTGAAACTGCCAAAGCAGTTCACTTTACAGCGAAAAACGTGTTTTAATTTTACTAAATGCGAAAATATTGCATGTTTCACCTAATCTATTAGAGAACAGTGAACATTTTAGTGCACTCCATTGCTTTGCAATTGAGGCTGCTTCAGCACACGTTTTAGTGCACTCCATTGCTTTGCAATTAGTTAATATAAATAAGATGGAGGAAAACTGGTGCTGCCACTCTATTAATATAATTTGTATTTCAACTTTGAAAACACCCAAATAATGCACAAGAAATATACTTCTACATAGTAAGGGTTATAATCTCTACGCAGAAAAGTGTTCAGCCCCTTTTTTTTGGCAACACAGAAAGGAAGCGAAGCCGAAAATGAAGATGAAGGCGAAGCCGAAAACGAAAAACAGTGCAGCAGTAAACATGTGAAAGTGATAACAGTGCAAATGAAGACGAAGGCGAAGATGAAGACGTTGCGCAAGCAGTCAGCTTGAAACTGTGCGGAAACAATTTTAATTAACATGGGAAATTTTAAAATAATTTTGGAATGCATTATCTGCAAATTATTCATACAAAATAAAAGTATTTTCTTGCATCATAATAAGCGTTCAGCACAAAAACTATGCAAATACTGACGCGATAAATATTGAGCATATAGAATTCGTGCGCGATCCATCAATCCATCAATATGGATCGCGATCCAAATATCGTGATAATTACTGACCGTGTGACACCGTGTGTAAGTAGATTATCCTCATTTTCGAGCTTAACTTCCTAATTGTAATTAGAAAAAGAGATGAGCCATACAAAATTTGTCCATCGTTAACATGAACTAGAGCTGGGATACTATCGATACCGCCACTCGATAGTTTTCGAAGCGATAGTTGAAAACATCGATAGTATCGATAGTACTATCGTCGTGAGAGGTATTGAATTGAAATGTTAAATTGCTTGAAAATTAAATAATTAATACATTTATAAAATTTATAAATTACTATGTTAAATTAAAGAGATTATATAAATTTGTTTAAATTTGAGTGCATCAAAAAGAACTTATTTTAGTAATAAAATAAACTTATTAATTTAAGCGTCTGAATTATATTTACATATATTTGTCCCTTTTGAAGTGCAAAGAAGTGAAATTGGCTATAATAATACTTATCTAATACTACAAAACAAGCAAAACAAAAGATATTCGTTTAAATTGACAACTCATGCTTATAAAAGCTCAATTGAGATCAAATACGGAGGCGTATATCAAAATCCGAACAAAAAAGGAAATTAAGGGTATTCATCAAGCCTTATAAATGCATTGTAAACCGTATAAACTTATAATTGTGTAAACCTTATAAATGAACTGTCAAAATTTGTATGGAAACACGTTTACACATTTCTGATAAATTTATCCAGCGATTTCACTGAATAAGGGCCGGTTGTTCAATGTCTGATTATCACAAATCGGAGGTAGAAGCTCCGGTTAGATACAACGACTACTTTATCGATCACATGTTATATGCATGATGTCGAAATCGTCGATAATGATGTTTAACAGGCAAGTAGTGATTATCAGACATTGAACAACCGGCCCTAAACTTGATAAACTGAAGACAATGCAACTCTGTTGCATCTGGTTCAATTATTATCCCGTCTGTTTGTTTTGTTTCACTGATAATTCGCAAAGTTTGGTAGCCGTGACAAATGAATTCATACACAAACAGACATTCTGCCATTGTTTCTTATAACTTGCTTCAAATAAATAGCCTTTATGTTATATGTACATTTATTTAAATAGATATCTCGTAAATATAATTTTTTCCAATTTAGTGAGGTAGTTTCTAT